CCAGTCTACATGGTAATTATATGCTAACGCCTTTTGAAATTAATTCAGTAACCCCTTTACTAGCATTGAAGTAAAGGGTATAAAGAGGCTGAGATTTTATTTAATCACTTTGACTTCTAGGGACTTAATGTAAAATTTCTTCTATGCATGAACTGCCTCATTGATTGACAGAACTTGCTGACTGCTCTCTTGCTGTAACAGCGCAGTCCCACAGCAAAAAAAAAAAAAAAAAACTGCTGGCAAATGTCCTGCCAAAAATTGGTAACGGATAGGGCTCTCATAGAGAAGTCGAGTTACTGGCTTCAAAGATGCCATAATGTATGCCTGGACCATTCTTTCCCTACTTCCTATAAATTATCCTCATCTAACGGTCTAAAAGAAATAAGACCAACTATAAAGAGCAAGAGGTTGTGAGCAAAATAGTAATATAATGACAATATAATAGTGATACATAAGAAAATGATGGAACTATAAAAATAATCATGACACTGATCATTTTACTTTAATTTTTTATGGAGATACCATAAAAAAAAAAAAGCCCACAGTGTGAGCTGGTAAACAAATACACATGATTTGCTCTACCCTCAAAATCCAGTGATTGTAATCTCAAAGCCCACTCACAAATGCTTTCTACATAATGCAGTGTACATCTGTAATCTACCACACTACAATAGCCAAAGAACAGCTAATGTAACACTGGCTTTTAGCTTTCCCGGTACCTACCATTAACTCGATTTCCTATGCTCAGATCAAAAGCACATTGGATTTGACGTTATACTATATACAAATTCCTCACTTATCACAGAAAAATGACTGAAATTTTTTCTGAGGTATAAAAAGAAGTCAAGGAATGAATTTAATTCCATAACCTAAAACCAAAAAAAAAAACCAAAAACAAAAACAAAAAAACTCATGAGAACCATGGGTTACAACTGCTTAAGAATCCTGCACATATATTTTTTCATCCTCCTAGCTCTTCAGGACATTGTATGTAGCTATTAGATGACTTCCCTCTAGAACACACTTTCAGAGAAAAAGATATTAATATAACAAACCGAAAAAGAACTGAACTACATAAATCCACAAAAAATATTATTTTATGAGTAAAATCATCTGAAATGTATTAAGGTATTATTATGTGCAGATACCGTGGCAAACCTTGATATATCTTCTCTTACTAATTCCCACAACACCCTCTGAGATTGATGCTATACAATCGCTAGACTATAAGCTCTGTGAGAACAGGCACCAGGTATTTTGTTCACCAATGGAGAATTAACATCTTGCTCCTACTGTGCTTGCTGCATGGCAGATGTACAGTGAGATATTTACCGAATGAATGAATAATCTCCATTTGAAAAAGGAGATAGTTGAGGCTTACAGAAGATAAATAACCAAAGATATGTGATACTAGAACTTATATTCCAACAAGTTTTTACTTGTTATTTTCTTTTTAAACTAAACAGTCTTTAGGGGATGGAGAGGAGTTAATTTATTGCTATGTTTAATCTTCATGCATTTACCATCTCTGAATGAAAATAAAGTTGCTGAGTTGAAATGAAAGGGCCAAATTCAGAAAGAGAAAAGAAGAAACAGGAAGGTCCAATAAGGCAAGATGTTAATATTCTTTTTGACCCAGGAGAGCTCTTCCAGCCTTTAGCCCAGCAGGCAGATACCTGAAGTTTCTGTATCTGGGGGAGGAAGCGTGTTTTAATTAACAGTTAACTATTCGCCCTGTTGTCTTACTGCGATATAATAAGACCTATATATTTGGTCTCTGATCTCGGTTCCTAACACAGAGCTCCTAAAACCCTTGTAATTTCCTAAGCAACAGGGGTGGTAGGTGCATCTTTTGTTCTAATATTTGGTCTTTTATCTGGCTTCCTGACACAGAGCTCCTAGTTCTTTGGAATTTCCTGGGAGACAGGAGTGTCTTTTGTTATGAGGCAACTCTTGGTGGATTCTTGAATGGGCGATGATTACTAGAAAGATGAAACCATGACTTAAGTTTGGAATTTTAATCCCCAAGACCCATCCTCTGGAAAGGAGAGAGGGTCTAGAGACTGAGTTAATCATTGATCATGCCTACATGACAAAGCCTCCATAAAAATCCCTGGACTGCAGGGGTTTGAAGATTCTCTTCATCTGACTGTTCATCTGTACCCTTTGTAACATCCTGCATAACAAATGGGTAAATGCGTTAATAAGCAAAGTGTCCCCCTGACTTCTGGGAGCAGTCCTAGCACGTTAATTAAACCTGAGGAGAAGGCTGTGGGAACTTTCAGCCTGAAGCTGGCTGGTCGGACATTCAGGTCACAACCTGGGACTTATGACTGGCATCTGAAGAGGAAGGGGGCAGTCTTATAGGAGTGACCCTTAACCTGTGGGATCTGATGCTATCTCCAGACAGCGTCAGAACTCAATTGAATTAAAGGACACTCAGTTGGTGTCTGCTGGAGAACTGGTTGGTGTCTGGGGGAAAATCCTACACATTTGATGCCAGCTAGTGTTTACTGACTTCCCAAGAGAAGAAAAACTCTCATAATTACGCTTTGTTAAGTGCTTTCTGAAACACAACTAATAACCAAAAGAATTGGGATAACTTCCAAAAACAGTGTGCATTGCCCTGTACACAACGTTGAATTTTGTGTTTGGCTGTTAAACACCCTCGTTACCCTGCAGCACAGCTCATTTGTTACCAGTATCCAATAAAATGTCAGACAGAGAAATAAAATGCCAGTGCTCGGCAGTCCATCTTGATTCATAATAAGGTAGAAAGAATAGGACTAGAATCTCCGTGTTCCAAATTATAGCCTTTGGAGTGTTTCCATATACCATGCAAGACAGGAAATCTGTGTCTAAGGTACGTATAACACAACAGTGACTTAATATACATGATTCCCTAAAGACTAGAGCATCATAAATCAGGAATCTCAAGGACCTAAACAAACGGGCTTGGTTAAATAAGTGCCATGGGGAACACAGTGTACCTCAGCGGCTAGAGCATGGGGCTTGGGGGCTGGCAAGCCTGGGTTCTTACCTAAACTTAGTCACTTAGATCTGCAGTACTAGGTGTGTTCCTTAACCAGTTTCATCCGTAAAATGGGGGTAATAGTAGTGTTTACCATATTGGGCTCTTAAAAACATTGAATTCACTTGTGGGGGTAGGGAGGGAAAGGGCATTTATTGAAACCTTAAAATCTGTACCCCCATAATATGCCGAAATAAAAAAAAATTTAAAAAAACACAAAACATTGAATTCAAACGTGCGTGGTGCCTAGGTACAGTCCTGGTAGTAACTCAGTAACGGGCTCTTACTTTCACCCTTATTCCCACCACCATAACTTTCGTCTCATCTCTGAGAAGTCTCTAAACATTAGCCAAACGAAATAAACTTGAAGCAGTGAATTTTACTGGTTAATACATAAAGTCATCTTTGACTTCTATTTATTTAATGGTTCTGCTAGTCACTGCTACTGTCCAAAGTGGGTCCCCTGCCTGATGCTATATTACAAAAGAACAAGAAAAGTAATCCCAGAAGTGACTTCTTCATGGAAACAGGTTTTAGGTGGGGAGAAGCTACTGGAGCTTGTAAGAAAAATGTGCACTTGACCAGCCGCGGCTGTGGTTATTATTAGGCAAGTCAAATTATAGATGACTGTGAATTCTATTTTGAGTCAGAGTCTGAAGAGGAAACTATGAAGTGCAAAATGGGTAAGCCCTCATTTCACCTAAGCAGTCTGACACTCAGTGTCTGTGATTTAGCGCCCAATGTCCTAATGTTGGAACATTTTATCCAAGAGGCCTCAGAGCACTAGGGCTAACAAACAGCTAAAAGTCAAACGGCCTGACGATGAACCCCGCACCATCACTTACTCTGTGACCTCACCGGTGAGAGAGGTCACGGTGCCTAGTGCCCAATATATATTAGCTGTTACTATCATTAGCATCAGTATATTTTTCATTATGTTGTGCAAATATCTTTTGATGTTTACTTTTTTCCCCCTAGATAGTGAGCTATTTTAGTGAAAGGACTGGATATATTCGTCTCTTTTTCTGTGTCTGATCCTAATAGACACTTAAAAAATGTTAGCTGTGGACATATAGGAGTAACATTTATCAGGTGTGGGGAGGGTGGGAGGGAGGAGGAAGAGATGGGTATATACAACCACAACGAGTAAGATGTGCAATGTTTGGGGGATGGAAATGCTTGAAGCTCTTACTCAAGGGGGAAGAGGGGCATGGGCAATATATGTAACCTTAACACTTGTACCCCCATAATACGCTAAAATAAAAAAATAAATAAAAATAAAAATAACGTAATGAAAAAAAAATGTTCACTGAATGAATGAGTGAATAAACAAGCAAATGAATATGAAACTAAGACAAAATCAGAACAAAAGCCCTGACTTTAAGTTTAGAAAGAATAACTTTTTCAAGTTATTGATGAAATCATCTAGAGAGTAATTCTCAGAGATCAGTCGTCTTCTTAGCTTCTTTTATCTCTATCTTATTTCTAAATAAGGAACATATGTGGTCTTAACCCACATCCTCAATCACACACACCAACTGTTTCTGACAACAAGTTCACAGGCTTTTGTTGACCCTAACAGCTTCCACAAAAACAAAACAACAGTTATGGTTCATTCAAAACCCAAAGAGCATTTTGATAAAAATGAACAATATCAGATTAATATAGAACCAAATTAGTTTTAAACATTTTTGAATTGATTTTAAAAACCAGTCCTATGCGTTTAATGTTTCCATGATACTTTACTTAAGAGCTCTTAAAATATTTTTCGAGATTAGTGTTTACCCAAGCAGCAAATAATATTTGCAAGCAATAATATGATTTCTGTTCTTCCTTTGGAAAATGATTTTAAGTAGTTGAAGGAAATATGATTTGTCAATGTTCTTCTGTTTCACCTCATGTTCCTGTACACCATTTACTACACCCCTCCACTTCACCAGAAGAGAAATTAAAAACATATGCCTCTCACCTCTAACAGTTCATCTCCAATACGCATTCGTCCGTCTGTTGCAGCAGGTCCTTCTGGGTTAATTCCCACCACAAATATGCTCATGCGTGATCTGTCTTTGTTACCAGCAAGGCTGAGTCCAAGTCCATTTTTATCCTTTTCAAGTTCAATAATGTGCAGTTCTCCAGGCAGATCTGCATATCTTTGCCTGATTTTTTCTATTTAAAAAAATATTTAAAAATATTAAACAGAGCAGTTGAATCTGTATTATCAAGATGTCAGCATTTCCCCACCCTTAATATGATTCTTCTACAATAGTTCCTTTAGTTTTTAACCCTGACTAACATTTTTTCTTAGAGCAATGGGGGTCTCACTACGTCGCCCATGCTGGAGTGCAGTGACTATTCACAGGTGTGATCATGGCGCGCTATAGCCCCAATCTCCTGGGTTCAAGTGATCCTCCTGCCTCAGCCTCTTGAGCAGCTGGGACTACAGGCATGTGCCACCACACTTGGCTCTAGAATGGTTCTTTTCCTCTCCCTCCATAACAAAGGGAAACAAAAACATTAACTGAGAGCCAGATGTGTGCCAAGCCAAGTGTCTGGTTTTGGAGGCACAGTGCTGAACAAAATAGTAATGCTTTCTACTCTTAGGACTTGTGATCCAGTAGGAAAGAAAACAATTAATTCTAAATAATTATATTTCTTTAAAATGTACAAAGGGAGCCGGGCGCGGTGGCTCACGCCTGTAATCCTAGCACTCTGGGAGGCCGAGGCGGGTGGATTGCTCGAGGTCAGAGTTCGAAACCAGCCTGAGCAAGAGCGAGACCCCGTCTCTACTATAAACAGAAAGAAATTAATTGGCCAACTAATATATATAATTAGTTGGGCATGGTGACGCATGCCTGTAGTCCCAGCTACTTGGGAGGCTGATGCAGAAGGATTGCTTGAGCCCAGGAGTTTCAGGTTGCTGTGAGTGAGGCTGACACCACTGGCACTCACTCTAGCGTGGCCAACAAAGCGAGACTCTGTCTCAAAAAAAAAAAAATGTACAGAGGGTACAAAATTACTGGTTATGAGAGCAGAAGCAAGGGGAATTAAGGATGTTGGTTTAATTGTCAGATCTGAATTCAATCCACAAATCTACCACTTACTCAATATCCAACAATGAATACAGTTTCTCTATGGAGTTTCATTCCTTCATCTGTAAAATGGGCATGAAAATATCTATTTCATGGATGTTGGGAAAGTTAAATAAAATACAGGTTTAAGGACTTACAAGCTCATGGCTTATAGGTAGGTGTTCTATAATCCTTTTACTCCATCATCTGCCTCACCTTGCTAACTATACTTTATGGTGTAAATTACCTATTTTAGGATATGGCTGGTTATGTTTCTGTGCAACAAAACAACACGAGCAGATAAGTGTGGGACGACACTGCTATAATCGTGTCACGTGCCCCACGCAGCAAGCACCAACTCGGGCCAGGTGCGCTGCCAGGCCTCAAGGGCTTCATGCCCACTACGGCGCTTGGAAGTAGTCATCTCATCAGCTGCATAATGAGTTGGTAGATTGTGACAGTCTTGGAACTCTTGATGCTCAGCCTAGGCTTGACTTATATTATGTTTGCTGTCCTTAGGAGGGAACCTTGCAAATCGAAAGCCAAGTCAAAAACTTAGTCTTAAGGTACAAGGGAGAGGAAGACAGCCTAGTCCATTCTATCACATTACAGACTTAACAAACACTGCTTTATAAGTGAGTAGATAAATTTAAACTCATAAAAACAACTTTATGCATAAATTTACATTAAAAGAATAAAGCACAAGTGGGGGCTTATTTTAGAAAGAGAATAAATCTGCCTGCTTTACAAAGATTTTCAAGAGAATCATAAAGAACTTTCACTGACCAAGCTTGTTATTATTAAGAATGCATTTAGCAAAATACACAAAGAACTTGTAACTTAACAAAAACCATTTTTTATAGCTAGTCAAGTGAAGCCGGGGGTGAAATTAAAAAAAAAAAAAGATATAGAGGACTTTAACAAGACAATAGGCTCAACATAGTAGATATAAGAGAACTCTACAACTGACAGAAAATATACATTTTTGAGAAAACACAGAACAAGTACAGAAACAGACTATGCATCAGGCTATAAAAGAAACTTGAATAACTTTCAAAGAATCATCATCACAGAGGCTGTGTTCTTGGAACACAGTGCAATAAAACCAAAACTATAATTTAACAAAAAGATAACTCTTAAAACTCCATGTGTTTATAAATAAATAAAGATTAGTAAAAAGCTTAAGATTGAAAAAGGAAATTAAGAAATACAGCATTTACAACTGAATAAAAATTATAATTCTAGCTATCAAACTTGAGAGACACAGTTAAAGTAGAACTTAGAAGTCTATTTATGATTTTGAGTAATTCACCACAAAACAAGTTTAAAAATAATAAGTTCAGTGTTATACCCAAGAAGTTGGAAAAATAACTACATAGCAAATGCAAAGAAACAAGAACAGAGAAAATATCAAAGGGCATCTACTAATAAACATAGAACTATTACCACCAAACAAAATAAAACAATACACAAAAGAAAAATACCACATAAAGGTCAATGAAATTAAAACCTTGTTCTTGGAAAACATTAATAAGATAGATGGCAAAAACTGAACAAGAAAAAAATAGATGATACAAATAAATTACAGAATGAAAAGAGGGAAATAACTGCAGACAGGGTTTTTAAATGAAAATTATGATTAATAGTGGCATATCAATATGAACTTATGTCAGCCCATTTTAAAATCTACATTATGCAGGCATATTTCTCAAAAAATTAAAAATACCATACATATTTGGCTGGGCACAGTTGCTCACGCCTATAACCCCAGCAATTTGGGAGGCCAAGGCAGAAAGATTGTTTGAAGCCAAGAGTTCAAGAATAGCCTGGACAACATAAAGAGACCCTATTTCTATAAAAAGTTTTAAAAATTTAGCCAGATGTGGTGGCATGCACTTGTAGTCCTAGCTACTTGGGAGGCTGAGGCAAGAGAAATGCTTATGACCAGGGGTTCGGGGTTATAGTGAGCTATGATCACACCACTGCACTCCAGCCTGGGCAACAGAGTGAGACTCTGTCTCTAGAAACAAGAAACTAAACAGCTGGACACGGTGACTCACACCTGTAATCCTAGCACTTGGAAGGCCAAGGCAGGAGGATCTCTTGAGGCCAGCCGTTCAATTTCAAGACCAGCTTTAGCAACAGCAAGACCCCATCTCCACCAAAAATAGAAAAAATTAGCCAGGTGTGGTGATGCATGCCTGTAGTTCCAGCTACTTGGGAGCTGAAACAGGAGAATCACTTAAGCCCAGGAGTTTGAGCTTGCTGTAGCTAGGTTAATACCACGGCACTCTAGCCTAGGCAACAGAGCGAGACTGTCTAAAAAATAAATAAATAAAATAAACGAAACAACCCCCCCACCATATTTAGTGCAAGAATAAATGTAAAAACTGCAATTGACTAGTAGATATTACAGAAATTGAAATGATAGTCAAAATTATTTTCTTGCATAACAAACTCAGTGCTAGATAGTTTTACATTTGAATTCTATAAGATTTCAAGTTATAATGAATTTTTACCTTATGTCAATTGTTCCAGAACATGGATAAAACATTTTAAAAAGCTACCTGCCTCATTTTTTGAGGCTGGTAAAATTCTAATTCTGGTTCCAAAATCAAAGACAAATCAACAAAAGAAGATTAGAGTCGTATTTAACTTATGATCAGAGATGTAAAAATCTTTTTCATAAAAAGTTAATTTGTTGAAGTCTACCCCAGTGGGGCTCTTACTGTGGCCAAAGATCACTAGAAACTTCTCATAGCGTAGCTCTGTGATTTTGCCTAACTCACAAGACTGCTAAATCTGTGGGAAGAAACTATAAGACAGTTGCTAAAACTATGAAAGACCTAATAATAGGTTTTTTTTTTTTATAACCTTAGGTATTAGCACATCCCACAGGATTTTTTTTTTTTTTTATAACCTTAGGTATTAGCACATCCCACAGGATCTGTGTTATTCTTGAGTGTGATAGCTGAGGAATGAATATGATTTGAACACATTCATGTTTGGAGAAGGTGTCAAACTGAGAACCAGACAGATCCACCTACTGTAAAAATGATGTTCAAGTAAAACTGCCTGAAGAAATTAGATCTCAAAGATTCTTGGTGGGGAAATTTTTGAAGTTTTCATCAGTATGACCATATTCAAGTGGAGACAGAAGCCAAAATAAAAGAATTTTGGACTGACAGGACAACTGTGGTATAAGCATCAGTTCTTTTAAAAAGAGCTATCTTGACAATAAATCTTGACTCCAGCTTTAGAAGAACTACAGTGGCCTTGATGGGCAGTGAAAGGAATCACAACATGTGAAATTCCCCAAATAAAAATGTATTGACTTTTAAATAGTTTTGCCTAATGTTATATAATAAAAAAGCTCTTTGAAAAAAAAAATTTAAAAAGGCAATTTAATTCGAGTGTACCAAAAATATTTAGTTTGAACTCCATGATATAGCCAATATTTGACCATTTTTTGACCTATAAAACCAGCAATTTCATATGATTCAACCTAAGAATATATTATGAAGAAGGGTATACCCCAGAATGCAGGGATAGTTAAATATCAGAAAAGTTTTCAAGGAAAATCACCACATTAGTAAACTAAAGGAGAAAGCTGAAAGATTATGTTATTAGATGGAGAAAAAAGCATGTGATAATGCATACCTATTTAAGATTAAAAATCAAACAGCTGGCAAAATAGAAGGATACTTTCAAACTTAAATTTATAAATAGAAAATATAACATGAGAAGATACTTGCAGTAATTTAAGTCAACAAAGAATTAATATACAGGGAACTCGTACAAATAAGTACAAAAAAATGGTAACCCCAATAGAAATCTGGCTAAAACATACATTCTCAAAAGGCTGACAGACATGTAAAGAAATGCTCAGATTCTTTAGTGATTATGTATGGAAATGCCAATGAAAATGAGATATCAAAATATTAAAGGAGACATTAAGTAAATGAGATATATACCATTGGGCTGGCAAACACACGAAAGCTGGACCATTAAGCCTTAGTGGAGAGGTGAGGGCATGCTCCACAGCTGGGAGTGCTGACTGGCCAGCCATTCTGGAGAGCAGTTCGGCACTACTTATCA